ATGCACACCAATCAATCAGCAACTCGCACTGCCAACAACCGTTGAAGAAAATGGGGCACCACCCTAAACCTGCAACTGCCGGTCAGAGAGTTCATGGCCAATCGGTGTCCTTCCCCAAACTGCCAACCGCCGGCCAGAAAGTTGATGGCCAATCAGTGCCCCACCCCAAATCGCCAACCGCTGGTCGGACAGTTGATGGCCAATCAATCGATCCGCTAGATGCACGCGGTCATGGATCTGATACCAACTGTTATGTGCCTATTGAAACGAAATCCAACATGGCATCCACACAATGCCATAAGTGTCAGCAGCGCGTGGGCGCCAAGCCCAGCGCGGTCACCAAGGGAGCTGGCCGGGCCCAGCTATGGCCGCCAACATCATGTGGAGAAGATGCCCTGCATACATGCCAACAATAGCGCAGCAGGGCAGCAACGCAACCTCCACCAGACCATGAAAAGAAAAAGCAACGAAAAGAACCGAACCACCTCGCTGCTAACCAATTTCTACACTTCGACCTCGACCTCAGCCTAGGGCAGACCGAAAAGCAAAACCTACGGGCCTACTCAGAAAGCAGCAGAAAAGGACAAAACGGATCTAAAGCTACCAGGACAGAAAGGAGTCCCAGTGAGGGACAGGTCAAGGGATAATGCCCCATGGGGCTGAAAACGAAGAAAACTACCAAATCCAAACTAGTTACTGTATAGCCCCACTGGAAAACTGCAATTTATTGCAGTTCTTCGACAGCAGGAGGGGAAAAAGTTGAGGCTGATTGAGTATATGACCAAGAAGATACCCTCTCAGATTTTACCCAAGTCCATGTATGAGCGTGAGCTCTACGCCCTCTACAAGGCCCTGACACATTGGAGGTACTGTCTTTTGGGGAAGATTCTCCATTGTGAGATCTGACCATGAGACAGTGTGATGGATCAACACACAACCCACACTCTCTGATGCTCTCAAGAGGGGGATTGAAGTCATCGTTCAGTATGACTTCCGCCCAGAGCATCTGAAGGGTGAGTTCAATAAGGTTGCGGATGCATTATCTCGAAGGGCAGATTGGGTGCCTTGATAACTGAGTTTGGGCTTTTGAACGATGTGACTCAATCATTGGTGGATGACTACAGGGAAGATGCACTGGTGTCAGACATCAGCCGCAAGCTCGAGACCAAAGACAAGGCAATATCAGATGAGCTTGTGGTGGTGGACAGTTTGCTGTCCTTGAAAAGGCCGGGAATAAAAGACTGTGTACTGGATAGAGAGAGTTTGCGTATGTTATTTTTAAGAGAGTGTCACAGCGCTACCGGTCATTTCGACCACGGCTACAAAAAGACTTCAGCAAATCTAGTACAGAGATTTTGGTGGCATACTATGCTTAAGAACACTAAACGGTAAGTGGAAACATGCCAAGTTGTCAGTGCGACAAACCAAGGACACAAGCTCCTCTAGGGTTTGTCAATGCCTTGCCTATTCCAGCTCGTCCGGGCCAGAGCTTGTCCATGGACTTCATGGACAGCCTTGGGACCAGCAAGAGCAGCAAGAGACATATCTTTGTCATAGTAGACCGACTCTCAAAGTATGCTAGACTAGTCGTTATGCCCGAGACAGCGAAGACCGAACATGTGATCAAACTGTTTGTGGACAACTCGGTGTATGATTGGCTTGCCAAAGTCTATCGTCAGTGATAGAGATGTCCCTTTCACAAGTGAGTTGTGGAAGAAGGTAGCTGAGCAGATGGGCTCCCAACTGCAAACGAGTTCAGGAAATCATCCTGAAGCCAACAACCAGGCAGAACAGATGAACCGTGCGGTACAGCATTTGCTCTGGCATTATGTCAAGCTGAGCCAGGATGACTGGGATAAGAAATCATGTCTCATCGCCAGCTTGTGCAATAACATTCTTCACAGTACCACCAGTAAGTCTCCCAACCAGCTGCATCTATGTTGGAAGCCTGGATCTGCCTTGGATTTCCTTCTACCTGAAAACAGACCCACCGCCGTTCCATGCAGCATCGAGTTTGCTGTCCAGAATGATAACATGTTGCAGCAGGCTGTTGAGCATATACAGAAATCCCAAGATTCAATGGTTAGATATAAGAACAAACCTCCTTCGGGACATCCGTTAAAATTGGAACGATACAGAGAAGATCAACATGGCCCCTGCGCAAGGATGACACGCATAAATCGAGAAATGGTCCAAATTAAAAAAAAAAAACAAAGGATATAAGAACAAACATAGAAGGCAGCCTACATTTTCGGCGAGGAAAAGGGTCTGGGTAGAGTCATCTAAATCTGGACAGGAAACTGACATCTCAAAAGCTTTTTGGGCCTTGGGAAGTCTTAGATAAAGTTGGGAATGACCCTGATGGTCCAACTTATGTCATCCGCATCCCAGATCATCTGCGCACGTATCCCGTTTTCCATGCATCCAAACTGGCACCTTACTGTGAAACTGATCGGTTTCCCTCGAGGAGGTCGGTGCTGCCCCCAACCATGGATGGACACGTCGACATCGTCAACGTCATGGACCACAGACTGATTCCTGTACCGAAGCCGCCTGAAAGAGGGACACCACCTAAACCGCAGATGCAGTTTGGGGTCAGATTCAGGCACCACAAGGATCCTAAAGAAGATCCATGGTTCACAAGGGAAGAACTGATGAAGACTGCACCGCAGGTCGTCTATACTTATGAAAGAACGCTGAAAGAAGAACAAAGTACTGAGTAAGAGCATTGTCAGAAGACAAATGAAGCAATTGCGGAGAGAGTGCCACGATCCAAGCCCCTGGAAGCCGCAAAGGCCGAATGTGTCCACCCTAAGTGATGGTGGGCCTGAAATTTTAATTCAGCCTGAGTGTTGAGGGGCCCCGACACAGTTGCTGAAAGAAAAACGGGCCCTGCAAGTTGGTTGCAGAGCGGGAGCTTCCAGAAGGGCTTCGCAATTGTTTCAGCCTTGCAGCATCTTCAACCACCGACTAGGGTCTGATAGTTGAAGATGCTGCCCAGTCCTGAGATACTGAAGCCCATGACCCTAACAGTTGAGCACCAGGCACATTCTGGGAGAGCCCTCGGGGCACACCTATTGGGACAGGCCCATGCCAGCCTTCCCTTTTGATATTGGAAAGTTCCTGCACTCGGTCAGAACACATTCTGGCCTGCTTATGTGCGGCAACGCTGCTAGAGCGCTCGCTGGTGAGACAGAGCTGCTGGACGCTGGGCGCACACGGGCGCCGGGGATCAATCCTGCTCGATGCAGCGAGGTGTGGCAGCCATAGCAGGGCTGCTCACACAGGTTGTCGATGAAGATGCTGGTGGTCCTTGGCGAGGGAGTAGAGCCTGTGAGGGGGACAGAGTGTGATGGGTGTAAGGGCAGGTACCTGGTGTGCAGTGGAGGTCTACATGGGCGGCGTCTTCATTTACATCGGGCTGCTGCTGAAGTGTACCTGGTTCTGTCAATAGGTTGATGGGCTAGTATAAGTGCTGTTTGATTCTAGTCTGGGAGACGAACTCCATATAAAGAGCGACATTGGATACAGTGATGGTGGAGGTGAGATGGAGGCTTACATTGTCAATTGAGTTCATTGCCTTGCTCTTATTTAGTGTGTATCTTGGTGCATTCTGCTTTATGCTCAGCACGCGACTATCTGGCTTTCAATGTGATGATGCAATCTGGTTTTTGGTCATTCTCACCAAGCAGCATAGTGCTCTGGCAGTATTTCTGACAGTCCTGTTCGCCAGAGCACAGCAAAGCCTCATTATGACTGTACCGGACCTGAAGATACGTTATATTCCTTCAGAGCTGCATTACTGCCCTCGCCCCACCACATTTCAACAGACTACATGCAGTTGGGCGCTTTCTAATCACGATGCAGTCCGGATGTTGCACTCGTCCGAATGCGCGTGGTCTACAAAGCATCCAAAGTCTCCAAATGCATGTAGAGTTTTGTGTAGTGGAGCGAGGTCCACAGATCTGTTACGTCCTTCAGGATATCCATTGAAATTGAATACATGGCGTGCCCAAATGTGTGAAATGAGAATCAATTTTCCGAACATGGAATGATACATCACCAAGTTTTTCTTTTTTGTGCATGTTGTGAGTAGTGGAGCAAGGCCCTAGAACTTGTCTTTTGTGCATGTGGTGGAGTGAGGCCCCTTGAGGATATCCGAGATTAGCACCGCCCCTGTGCAAGCATAACATGCAAAATAAATAAATAAAAAAACAAAGTGCACGACTCATCTCTGTGACATCCGATTTCCCTGACAGCTCTCATAATGAATGCATGGTACATAGGAACTGGTTAGGATACATTCAAGGACAACTCTGCCCTCTGTTGAAGTTCACAAAATCGTGGAATTGGGCCTTTCGATCGAGGGCGCGTTGTCTCCTTGAATTTATCAGAGCTATTTTTCTGGTCCGATGCAGCCATGACGCGAGTGCGTGGAGGAAATTGAAAGAAGAGCTCCGCCTCATCATGACTGTACCAACATCAGATCTCAGCTTGGATACACTGGAAGTCACAAGGCGCCCTCCTCGAATTTAGTGAACCTTCACAAGGGCGGTTTGTGCCCTCGATGTACACTGTACATCAATCATGACAACACACACACACACACACACACTCTGTAAGCGGAAAAACTTCAAAAAACTGTGCGCACCAGTAAAGTAGCACCCTGCACTGTGTGCTGCACCTATAAGCGTTTTGTGTGAGGGACGAGCGGGGTGCACGCGCATCTCAGATCCGCCCACCGCTCGATGCCCACCGCACTGATGCGTCACAAGTATGATGGGGATGCTTTGAAGTGCTTGTGTCCCATCAGGGAAGAGGTTCCGTTTTGCACAAGAGACTCAGTAGCGTTCTTGCAAACACTAACGAGCGCTTTCAGAAAAATCATGTCCAAGCAGGAAATCACCCAGAAGGAATTCCAACGGCAAGTTCACCTCGATGGCCTCTTCTCCCTCAAACATGCGCCAAATAAATCCTCGGGAAAAAGCACAGTTCCTCACCTGAACATATGAAAGCTGAATAAACATCGGCTCAGTTATTGCCTCATCAGTCTCTCGGAATAGTCTCTTCTTAAACAGGAGCTTACATTGCACAACTTCCCCTTTCGTCCTCTCTTTTATTTGCTTGAACTCAGCTACTATGTCACCTATGTACTTGTTGTCATCAAGGCCAATATGTTCATCTGCAATCATCCGTGCATAGCCAAACCCACAGGTATCAGCCAACCCCTTACATAGAGTCCATGGCAAAGGACCACTGGCTACTGTTCTTTCTTTCACAAAGGCCTACCTACCACACGTTATACAACTTTGCAGGTCTTACATCGACACATCTACATACCCAACCCAGGGAAAAGTGCTTAGTGATTCGCTCCAGGCCCATGGGGTTTTAAAACTGCAATAGGAGTCATTGAGCACCCTGCACAAGAATGTGAGCCTTGTTAAGAAAGCCATCAGCATCTCTTGCTAGCACATCTCCCGGCCATTCGCTGCTATGCCCATTTGTTGAAATCCATTCACAGGATTTTGATACCAAGGGGTTGCAATCTCTGCAGTATGAAAAAAAGGCGAGCCTTGCCATCAGAGTTGCAACGTTGACCGCAGGCGGGACCCTGCCTGCCGGTGGCCGACCAGCTTCCAGGGACAGCCCTTCGGTGCCTACCAGTTGGGTAGTCGACCTGCTGTAGCATTTCCAACGTGACAGGACTTTGAAGTCTTCTGGGGTTCGCAGTCGGAACTGGTGGTATTTGGGTGGCCTAAGAGTGGGCAGTCGCGAGGCCAGCCCTTCCTGGTGCCAGAGTTCTTGAAACAGCAGCTGCCCACATTTCACCAATTTGCAGATGCAGGGTGGAATGTGATTAGTTCGTTAGGGGAGCAGTCCATCCAGCCCATGCACTGGAAGGTCGCCCATGCAGGTGAGACCAGGAGAGCAGCTATCTTCTTGTTCTCCTTCTTCTTCATCTTCTTCTGCGTTTCTCGTTCACCTTGCATGTGACGCATGAAACCCTGGCTTTGGCTCACCCTCTGGATTTCCAGTCATATATCCCTCCGCACTGATGATGATGATGAGGACGCCTGATGTTGGTGGTGAAGACGAAGAAGGGGAAGAAATGTGGTGGCTTGCCTTCTGGATTTCAGATCATTGATCAAGATCTTGTTCATGATGAACACAAAATACTTCATTGATGATGAGGATTAATGATGATGATGGTGAAGAAGAAGAAGAAGAAGAAAGAAGAAGGAAGAAGGAGAAGAAGAAGAAGAAAGGAGGAAGAGGAAGAGGAGGAGGAGGAAGAAGAGGAGGAAGAGGACGAAGAAGAAGAGGAGGAGGAGGAGGAGGAGGAGGAAGAGGAGGAGGAGGAAGAGGAGGAAGAAGAGGAGGAAGAGGACGAAGAAGAGGAAGAAGAAGAAGAAGACGAAGAAGAAGAGGAAGAAGAAGAAGACGAAGAAGAAGACGACGAAGAAGACGACGACGACGACGAAGAAGAAGAAGAAGAAGACAACGACGACGATGACGAAGACGAAGAAGAAGAAGAAGAAGAAGAAGAAGAAGAAGAAGAAGAAGAAGAAGGAGAAGAGAAAAAAATGTGGCGAGTCGGACTCCAGATTTCTGATCACTGGATATCTTGTTCACGATGATTATATTGGAATGCATACTTGATTACGATGATGAATCATGATGATGACGGTGAAAGAAGAGGAAGAAAAGGAGGAAGAAGTAGAAGGTTCGGATTTCTGCTCATAGATGAAGATAATAAACATGTGGGGATGCATGGTTGATGATGATTCTGATCCGTGGCAATGGTGGTGAAAGAAGAAGATGAAGCTCACAGGCAAGATTTGGGGAAATGAGTTGTGTGATGATGATGATGATTGAACCAGAAGACGCAGCAGCATGAAAAGATGATGGTGAAGAAGGACAAAAACAATTTGTTTTGTTTTTTGAATTTCTTCACCGTCATCATCACTGTGTTACATCATTATCAGGGATCCTCATCATTCATCATTGAGGCAGTGTGAATGGCCAGAAATTCGGCGCATAACAATTTCTTCGTCTTCTTCTTCTTCAATAATCTGTGGCTCACCCGCAATGATGTCAGGCGAGTCTAGCCACAGCGGACAGAGGATGAGCCCTTCAAGCTGTGGGCAGTGATGACTGAGCGGACTTGTTGCAACACGGCGACGTCCAGAAATGGGCGGATCAGGGGCAGAAAAAGATGGGGGGGGTCACATGGCTGGTGGAGGATGTGCTGCAGGCTATGCGACAAAGAGTTCGCCGAAGCAAAGAGCAGTGACTTACTCCATCCAGCAAACAGGCTGGAAGATCCTACCTGCAACCTATGGCACATGAAGCAGCAAAGATCCGGCCAAACTCATGAACAATCAGTACTTGAAAGAGAAAGATCTTCGATCCGCAACAAAATCTGGTAGTGCGGAGGAGGATAAGGCTAGGGAAGCACAAAGGGATCCTCCGCCTGATAATCAGCCCTGGGGCAAGGCAGTGCAAGTGATGCTGAAGATAATTTCATGTGGCTACCTGGGAAGGAATCGGATCTTGGTACTTCTGGAAGTTCTGGTCAATTACAGCCCACTAGTCAACGAAGAGGTTGCCCAATTTTCCCAGGGGATCTCGTATGGCCACCGAGAGTCCTCCCTGGCCTCCAAGCTCCACCACGAGCAGGCAACAAACTTCCATGGGCAGTTTCGTGGCTGATGGATTGCACAGAGAGATAAACTGTGCCGAAGAACAGCATTGCTTCCAATGCAGGACTGTGCCGAAACAACACACTAGAGAGGCTTATTAGTGAGGCACCAACGCAAAGGAATGATGCTGCAGTCCCATAATGAGCTATCGGAGAGCTACAAGCACATTGACAGCAGCATGGACAAGATCAGGGAACCGTGGAACAGGAGTACCTAAATGAGAGAGCCATGCGGCGTGTGAGGAGCTTAGCGGGCCACAAGACCAAGGCAGCACAACCGGACCCATGTCATCCTGCCACACGAAGATGCAGACCATTCAGACCTGGTAGATGCAGAGCAAGAAGCAGGCAGTGATGAGTCCAATCATGAGGGAGAGTCAGCAAAGAGCCAGCAAAGAGTCAGACAAAGAAGGCCAATCTTGTCCTTCGATGGATCAAGGAGGTACTTCCTAAAAGTGCCTGGGCAGATAGGTACTACAGGGATAACTGTATACAATGTGCCACATCAGGACACCGCCCCAAGAGCACACAAAGAAACCACACAAGCCCGTAGAGATGTTAGTCACCTCTAAAGGGAGGTGGGGCTGGGAGGTGAAGGGGCACCTTCCAGCGAAGGCAGTGAAAGGACAGGAGGTCGTTTTTTTGGAGGGGAGGAGTAAGCCGCTCGGTTTCTTCTGAGCCTTTTACATCCAGCAGAGACGTGAATAGGCGCAGGAATTTCCATGGGGAGAGAAGTAGTTCCCTCCCGTCCTCTCTCCTTGTGAGAATAATAGGTGTTGACTGCCTTTTATGGCTACGATTCCTGCACGTGTATCTGAGTCCCCTGAATTCTTTTGATTTTTTAGGTTCCAACTGGAAAAATCTCCATAATTTTGGTGCAGGTTGCAGTGGACTGTGTTTGCTGTAATGGTTGGAGATAATGCGCTCTACGGCGAAGGGGCTAGCCAGTAGGGTGGAAATAGGGTACAGCAGCCATGGAGATGGTGGCTCTACCGCGGTAAGTCTTGCCGAAGTCAGGTTGAGAAGGATTTTTTGCTGGATGACTGCAGCCAGTGCTTGAAAGAGTGGATGATCGGAACTACAGCTATGGTGACGATTGGTGGCTTGTCTGGTATCTGCTGATGTCCTTGGTCCCAGTGGTTTGCGAATGGACAACGTCAGAACGATGCTGGTCGGTGCTGGGGCTTCGTCGCGCTGCCCTGTAACCTGAGCGGTACGGGGGCATGAGACCTGGTGTAGAGATCTCGGGAGTTGTCGAGAGTGGGGGGCACTCTAGTGTCTATTGGTGAGCTGGTACTTAGTTGACGCTGGCCGGAGAAGGGCCGGGTCGCTTTGCCCTGTAGCCTAGCAGGTGGGGGGTTTCTGGGGTGGGTCGTGCCACTCCGTAACCTAGCAGTTGGGAGTGGGAGGCCTGGTAGAGATTGGGTATCGGGGTATAGGGGAGAGGCGGATAGGGTTGAGCTGCTGACAGTAGCTAAAGGCAGGTGGTTTTCGGTCCGAATATTCCCATGATCAAACCTTAGAGAACCTAACTTTTTGTGTAGATTGCATAGCTATCATCTTTCAGCCGAAGCTGGGTAATGGCCTCGGTGTCTCAAAGTGTTCTGCATAATTTCCTCAATATGTTCTTGAATGGTACGCTGGGCCGGGTTACCAGCACGTGTTGCTCCCCATGAATAGATTGGAGCATAAAAAAAAAAAAAAAAAAAAAAAAAGGGGAGATGTTAGCCACCTCTACAGAGTCTGGGAAGATAGGTACTATGGTGGCAGGAAGTCTCCCTCATGATTGGACTCACCACTGCCTGCGTCTCGCTCTGCATCTACCAGGTCTGAATGGTCTGCATCTTCAAGTGGCAGGATGATATGGGCCCGGTTGTGCTTCCTTGATCAGGAGAGTTTATCCCTGCAGGGCTAGGAAGTCTTCCTCACCATGATGACTAAATCCTTAAGAGGAGATAGAAATAGAATCTTAAACAAAAAATATATATGACAGCATCCTGGGTACGTCAAAGATATGGTCCATGAGGAGAGTTTATCATTCTAGACGTGTATCTAAGTGGGTGTAAGCAAGGCGCACTTGCTGACCAGGCTGGACCACTAGGGTTTGATTCCCAAGGAGTAGAAGTAATTGAAATAAAGCGCCAAATTTGGGCTTCTGTAACTCTATACATACGGTTTTAATTATTTACAATTACAATGTGCTTATGATTTATCTCCACGAGGTATGTTAGCCAGTGTGTATCCACTGTATGGGGGAAACTCCTCGAATAGATAGAATGAATTTAATTTCTACATAGCAAGTAATAGTAATTTAATCTAGGTTACCTGATCAGACGTCTGGGAACCCCTGACCGTCCGGGGTTGTCCGATCGGACAACTGGTCGAACATCCTCCCAAGGCAGTCTGTCCGCGCCCGAACGACAAAAGAAAAAACAAAAGGGAAAATTTTCGAAATGCCCCTGAAGTTTGCATTAATTTGC